AACAGCTGCTGCTCGAAGAAAATGAGAATAACAAGGCCACGACAAGGGAAAAACCACCCTTGTCGCAGCCCCATATGCCCTCTATGCCATCCACTACAACTAAGGTAAGCCTAAATTCAATTTGTCTTGACCCCGTTTCACCAAATGTCCTTATTCCTTGTAGGATCATGCAATCCAAGGAAGAAGAGGGTGAGAAAGGCATCTTCAAAACCTTTCCAAAGAATCAAGAGCAAGAAGTGGATGGGGAATGTCTAGAATTCATCAAAGAAGATACACTTGAGACGAAAATTCCCAAAGAAGTTGGATTTTTATGACACGGGAAAAGTCATAACTCTCAAAACACCAAATCTGGCCAAGTCTCATATCCCTGATGTGGTGTTCGTAATTGAGTTTGTGTTGGAGCAAGCAAGTAAGCCATCGTCTCCAACTTCGATTTTATTATATACTAACTTGCTGATTTTGATGATTCAGGCACCTACACTAGAATTTAAACCATTGCCGGATCATGTCAAGTATCACCTTCCATTCAAGGATCAATTCCATGCTATGGGCCCTATCCAAGTTTAGAAGGAAGTTTCGTCCGGCTGGAAGACGTTAAAGCAAGCGCTTCTTGGGAGGCAACCCATGTATTCAAATAAGGAAGATTTTTTAATTGCTCCACGATTGGTTTTGCGTTCCTAAAAACCTTCTTTTTTCTGCAATTTTATTTTGCCATGATTGTCATTTTTATTTGTTGCTTTTTTAATTGTTTTTTGTGTGGGTTTATTTTTGAAACATTGACAGATATGCAAGGTATTTTACATTCATTTTCATAAAAAAAAAAGGAACATTAAGCAGAAAAATACAAAAGAGAGCCTTCACAAAGGCTGCTTAGGAGAAGTCTCAGTAGTCGGCGAAGCCTCAACAGTCGGCGGAGCCCCAGAAGAGTAGGCCATCAAATTTTTGAAAGAGGCCTGTAAAAATTGAAGAGGCCCATTAGATGAAATTGGTAAAAGCCCAATAATTGGATGCCGTACGGTCTCGTCATTCAGGAAGATTCGGATTTCCAATGATCAAATGATAACGTCACACGAGGCGCACGTGACTCTCTATCACCGTCTCACACATGACACTGATGACAGACAGGCGACAGTCACAAATTATTAACCGCATTTAAATTGCAAGTTCGGGTCCGCCTTTCCCCTCTTTCGCGAACCCTAAGACGGTTCAATTGAATCTCCCTCTCCCTCTCTCTCTCTCTCTAACTTCCTCTCCCAGGGTTCCGTTTTCTGGAACTCTCTCGCTGTTTCGTGCTCGGACGCCGGTGCTCTCTGTGAGCTATGATGGAGTTCGGAGGAGGTGGCCGGAAGAGAGGCAGGCCGGAAGCTGCGCACTTTAATGGGAATGGCGGCTTCAAGAAATCCAAGCCAGGTTCGGCTTCCCATTGCTTTCAAGCTTCTGCCTTTCTTCCGTGTATTTTCATATTTTTGTACCATGTCGATATGTATATGCGTATGTGTGCATGTGTGTATGTTGTATGCATTGAAAGTTAGGGTTTGGTGCTTTGATGTGCTTGTTCTGATTCTGTGCATTTAGCTTTTCTTGATACTCGATTTCGATAGTTCAGAAGGTTCATTAAGTGTTAAATTAAGTTAAGAAAGCTTCCTGCTTGATAAGAATGAAGGAAAAGTATTTAAAGAACATTGAATTTTGCGGTCAAGTTAAAAAATACCAGTTTTCTAGTTCATTTGAGCTTGCGGGACATTCAAAGAGCGAAATTTGGTTTTTTGTTGCTATCTCATGTGGACATTATTGGGTTGCCTACTGATGATCATAATGTTTCATCAAAAGATTGTGCTCTTTAATGTCTTCAAGAAAAATGTTTGCTTGGTGGGTCGAATGTAATTGAAAGTTGGTTATTGAGAGTAGGACTTTAATTGCAGTATAATTTGGTAAAAGACGACATTCACCTCTCCCAGACCCTGCGTAAAGCGGGAGCCTTGTGCACTGGGTACGACCTTTTTTTTTATAATTTGGTAAAAGACTCCCTTAAAACAATGTGTTTAAAATATGGATTTTCTCTGCGGGATGCACATTATTATCAAGCAGTATAGCACATGAAATTGTTTAAATGCACTAGCTATTGTTATCAAGTTGTAAACCACTTATAGTTTGTCTTATTGGTTTGGTTTTACATTAGCTATCTGTTATCTTATTTTGGTGCTGTTATTCAAGTAAGTGGGATTCCACTGTTTTAAATATTATTTGCTAATGACTGACGAGGAGAGAAAGAGATGGAGACTCCCATGTTCTCTTCACTTTCCTCTAAAGAATCGAAGAATCAACGTTTTGCATAAAAGTTATAGATTGAAAACCATAATTTTAAATATCATTTTGTTTCCTCTTGTTGGTTTAAAAAGTACAGGGTTTAGAGGTCTGTTTTATTCAACAGTAAAATGGGGTTTGTTCTTACGCTATGATTCTTCAATGGTAACATGAATACGTGATGATGAATATTGTTAAGGTTTTGAAGATTAATAATCCACTGTAAGTGTAACTGAGGGAAATTAATTAATGTTCTGCAACAGAAATGGAGTCCTTTCAACCTGGTATAGGAAGCAAATCGAAGCCATGCACAAAGTTTTTCAGGTTCTAATCTTAACTTATCTAAAATGAATGGCCTAAGTGTAATTTGCATATTGACAAGTTTAAGAAAAAGCTTGTTCTTCAATTTTTGCGAGTAATTTGGATTAATGAAATGGGCCGTCAAAGCTTTGATACAGGTGGACTCATCTTTTCTAATCATGATAACAAAGACTGAAAGGATATCGTTGAATGATAACAGTTCGATTAAGTACTTACTGGATGCTATCTATTTTATCATGGTTGTATGGGATGCATAAGTTGTCCTTCATACCATGGTTTTCTTTAGTTTCTTTCTTGCATTTGAAATCAAAGTGATTTAGGCTACAGAACCGGTCGCTAAGTTTTGAAGCAGGTATTTTTATGTACGGACTATGCAAAAAGTAAGATGAATTGAGAATTTTGATGAGGTCAAGTCATATTTTCTTTCGAAACTGTATGGGACTTTGTGTGCATTTCGCTAAACTCCAGGGGATATGTAACTTCTGTTTAAATTGTGACTGTTCATTGATTTTTTCAAAAAGTTACAATGTTTTTCCGTTAATATTTCCTGATCTCTTTCAAGGTTTGTATAGGGCTAGGTCTTAGTTATGGTGGCGATTTTATATTATAAAACAGAGCTTTATTGTGAATTGTCATACATTTCCGACCTCAAGACTTTTTCAGCAGTGATTTTTGTGCTCTGGTAGTCCTTTAAGATAGTGAATCATATGCAGTTTTAGTATGTTATTATTTTCATTTCAGTATCAGGTAAGGGTGGTAGTGATGTAATTGGATAGTAGAAGATTGGCTTTGCATCACCTGTGAAAAGAACACCATTTCAGTGCTAATGAAACATGATTGCCTGATATATAGTTGACTAAAGTTAAAAATTCCACTTAGTTTCACAACTTCTAGGATTTTGATACATTTCTAAGAAAACCATATGTTTTCCCTTGTTGGGCAGTGATTCTCGTGAAGAATCCATTCTTGGTTTCGTGTATCTATTTTCCTATATTTTCTATAACACAACCTTTTCCCAACTAAGCTTATGGAAGATATTTTCTCATAAGCCCATTTCTGATATATAGTTACTAGTTAGTCATATTCTGTGACATTTTGTCATTTTCTGTCATATTTGGGCTCAGAAGTTTTTGTGTTATTTATATGCAGCACTTCCGGGTGCCCTTTTGGTGAAGGGTGTCACTTTTTGCATTATGTTCCTGGTGGCATCAAAGCAGTGTCTCAGATGACTGGTAGCAATCCAACCCATCCTCCTCCTCCTAGAAATTCAGCAGCCCCGCCATCATTTCCAGATGGTTCTTCTCCTCCAGCTGTCAAGACACGGTTGTGTAATAAGTACAACACAGTTGAAGGTTGCAAGTTTGGGGATAAATGCCATTTTGCCCATGGTGAGTGTGGAGCTTGGTAGGCCCACTGCTCAATCCTACGAAGATCCTCGTGCAGGGGCCGGATTTCCAGGCAGGATGGGAGGTCGGATGGAGTCTGCCCCGCCAGCACATGGAGCTGTAGCAAGTTTTGGGGCCACAGCCACGGCTAAGATCAGTGTTGATGCTTCGCTTGCTGGAGCCATTATTGGGAAAAACGGTGTACACTCAAAGCAAATTTGTCGTGTGACCGGAGCGAAGCTTTCTATAAGAGAGCATGAGACAGATCATAAGCTGAGGAACATTGAGCTTGAGGGTACCTTGGACCAGATTAAAGACGCCAGTGCCATGGTTCGTGAGCTCATTGGGAACGTGAGTTCGGGTGCTGGACCTCACAACATGAGGAATCCTGCTATGTCAGCCTCATCTCCGGCAAGCAACTTCAGGACTAAGCTTTGTGAGAACTTTACTAAAGGTACATGCACCTTTGGGGATAGGTGCCACTTTGCACATGGACAAGAAGAGTTGCGCAGGTCGGCGATGTGATTTCTTTCAACTCTTTCTCGTTCTCTTACCATTCTGTCGTAGGATACACTTATTACAGCATTAATTTTGCGTTGGTTAAATTTGTTTTCCTTCTAGGGTTTAATATTCGGAAATTTTAGTAGTTTGCCATGTTTCTCTCTACTTAGCCTCTCGTCTTTCGGAATCAAGCTGAGATCTCGTGGTTGAACTAATATAGTGAATAGTGATAAGTACAGGCTGCCAGTTAGCATGTGCAGTGGCAGATGCTAATCTTGGCTGCTTTGAATGTGTTCATTTTGTTTTGATCAGATTAATGAAAACTGAGATGTTAATTTTGTGCTAACAGATGTTTAGGGTTATACACACAAAATAATATACTTACAAAATAAATAAATAAACAAATGTTGTTTGAATCAAAATTAATTTACTATAATTTATATAAAGTATAGGTAAATTATTTGCACACATATATAATAAAACATAAAATTAAAAATGGTGAACACAGGTCACTATTTACTAGAAATTATGCAGGAACGTTGAGAATAAGCAGTTTTTTTAAGAACAAAATTAAAAATAAGCGGTTCAAGGTTCCGACTTTGATTTGCATCAATGAAAGTTGTAAGGAATGTGAACTATATTGCCTCAATCTCTTCCATTCGTATTCCTTTCACACCTCTTGTTCAGAGAAGAACAAACATTTTGGTGATCCTCAGAAAGGAAAGAGATTGCAGCAGATCCTCTTCTGGCAGGAGTGCAAGGCAATCGATAGATGCATAGATGTTGAAGAGAGCTTAGTTGTTGAGGTCCATCTCCGGTCAGGGATTCCGAGAGCAGCTGTTGTTTGAGCAATCTCTCCGACAGATCCTCACTTCCCCTGATCTGAAATTCTCCAAGGGAGACCTAGCATATTTCGATTCCACTGTTAATAAATACTGATATTATAAACGCGAATCTAGACAAGGCAAAATGAAGAAAGCAAAAGAAAAGGAAGGTAAATTACAATTTACGGATCATCGGTGTCCAACCGGAGATATATCCTTTCGGTGAAATCTGCAGCGGAACAACCAGCCTCCTTGTCAGCCACCTTGTATGGTAGCGCGATGTACTGGCATTCATCCAAACACAGTTAAGTGGTGCTAAATGCAGTTGAGTGTCAAAACATTGAAGACAATCAAGTATGTTTGGAACATTTGAGGACAATCAATTTAACATAACTACAGATAAGTGGTGCTAAATACGTACGTATGTACCTGGTTTTGTCTTGAGAGTTGACAGTTGGAGAGGTGAGTTGAAAGCTCATATAGTGATTTCATCATCTATCCGTATGCAAGGAATGCGAGCTATGTTTTTCCAATCTTTTCCTTTCTTCTTCTCGTACCTCTTCTTCAAAGAAGGACAATGCCAGATGCCCAGGAAAGAAAGAGATGCCAGAAAACCGTCTTTTGGAAGGATTTCGAGACTCTCGCACCCTAAAATTCGTAGCTCTTGAAGAGAAGTGAGGTGCTCAAGACCCTTGCCGTCCAAAGATTTCAGATTCGATACAGAAGAGATTTTGAGAGTGTGAAGACTGGCAGGGAGCATCTGTTCCTCGAGCAACGTCTCCAACAGATCCTTGTTTCCTTCAATCCAAAATCGTCGGAGAGAGACAAGTCCTTGCAATCCCCACTCCGCTGAAGGCCTCGGTCTCTCACAATTTTTGATCCAAAATGTTTGTAGGTTGGGAGGCAAACCCCCTTGTGCAAATGACACCAGATTTGGAAGACTTTGTATCCACAAAAATTGAAGGGCGGTGAGGGTGTGCATTCGGTCCGGCAAAAACTTCAAATTATCGCACTCCAAGACTGAAAAGTAAGTCAGGTTCGGAGTGGGCAATCCTCCGTCGGGAAAAGAGACAAGGTTTGGGCATGTCACAATAGTCAGGGAGTCGAGATGGCTGAGATTTTCATTTGCTCCTCCTTCAACAGAAAAGGATTCCAGATTCTGACAACCCCATATATAAAGGGATGAAAGTTTGGGGAAAATGCCCAACGGGAACGACCTCAGAGAATCACAGCTCTGTACAAGATCCAAAGTCTGAAGGGAAGTCAATTCGGCCATCATCTCACGTGATAGGAATTCTAATTTTCTGCAGTCATCTATACGGAGTGATGTCAGCGTGGTGGGCAGACCATTTGTAGGGAACGACAAGAGTGAGGAACAGTTAGAAATACTCAAATGTTGAAGACGATTGCTGTTGTGCACCATTTGCGAAGACCACTCTCTCCTACCATGATAAGAAATATTAAACTTCTGAAGCGACTGCAGCGTCTCCGTCGACTCTAGTGACAATGAGAGACGCGGGCATCTACTTATTGTCAGTTGTTCAAGAGATCGTCGTAAGGATTCCATGTTCAGGGTATTACTGGCCCTGTTTCCTTGTAGAACCTCACATCCGCAGACCTCAAGTATTTTCAAGGAAGGAAGATGAGTGGGCAAGTTTCCTCTCAGCTTCTGACACCAAATTAACTTCAGCTCCTTAAGCTGAGGAAAGTTTGGACTTTCACCTCCACTTGGACTAGGCAGCCATTCCTTCCACTCTGGCATATCCCTGAACTCGAGCTTCTCTAAAGATCGAAATGGTTGATTTCCACCGTACAACTCAACACCAACACTCGTAACCAATTCCATCCTTTGTATGTAGAGCTCTTTGAGAGCAGGTAGCTGACCAACTGGTGGCAGAGAACTACAATTACTACAAGCTCCGAGACGCATCACTTGTAAGTTGGAGAAAGACGAGTCTCCCACCCAATTGGGGAAAGTGGTTCCACCATAAAACTTGATGGTTAGTTTCGCCAAATTTACCGAAGGTTGTAGTCTTTCAAGTACACGTCTCTCTTTCACAAAATCATTGGAAACTTCATGACCCCATGCCAACTCTACATCATTGAGATCTTTCTTATCCTTCAGCAAGGCATCAATAACACCAGCTACATTTTGCAGATTCAAGATTGAAATTTTTCCTCGAAGGTGCAACAACTCCCTCAATTCTGCAATGCTTGATCCAACAGATTTCCCCAACATAAAAACAGTCAGCGTTCTCAAACTTTTTAGTCTACCCATATGCGTAGGCATCTCTTTTATGTTAGTTCCACTAATTTCAAGATGACGCAAATGAATCAATTTCCACATGTCTGCAGGCAATTCAACAAGAGAAGAACAACCTAACAACAACAGAGTCTGTAAATTGTAGAGAGTGCACACTGTATCTGGTAACCTTTTAATTGCCGTATAAGAGAGATCAACATAGCGCAAGTGGATGTGGTTACCAATGGAACTAGGTAAGTGATTGATATTTTGATATCTTGACAATGAAAAAGCCCGTAAACATTTTTGTGCTGGCAGTAAATCATCTAGAACCTTATTGCTTACATATCCACGATCACGGCTATCATATGGTGCTAAAGACACTGGAAAGAAGGTTCGCAAACACTCAACTCCTTTTAATGGCTTAAATTTTAGAGATGTATCAAAGTTTCCTCTCATATACGACAAGTGGCGAACTCTTTTAGGAACTTCATGTGAATTTTTCTGATCGAACCTGAAACAAAACTCTCCAGACACAAACATAGCCAAGTCATTGATGAGATCATGCATAGTGAAACTTGGTTGGTCCAATCTTGGTTTTTGAAATAGTGATCGCGATAACAATTCATCAAAGTATCTTTCACCAATCTCCTCTATTGTATCCTCTCTCTCTGACTGTGGAATTAAACCTTCTGCCACCCATAGTAGAATTACATTTTCCCTTTCAAATTCATAGTGCTTTGGAAAAATTGAGCAATAAGCAAAACATCGTTTCAAGTAAGTTGGAAGAAATGGTAGCTCAATCTTAGGGAAGGAAGAATACTATTATTAGCATGTGGAAGATTCCAAAAATTGCTATTCAGTATGTGATTCCATTCCCTGTAGTCTAGGTTGCAACTTAAGAGACCCCCTAATATTTTTGCAGCTAAAGGCAAACCGTTGCACTTGCATGCAATTTGCTTACCAATTCCTTCCAAATCTGGATGAGCACTGGCGTTCTCATTTCTAAATGCATGTTTTTCCAGTAACAAGCAGCAATCCTCGTCCGATAATTTTTCCAGGTCATGAATTGGAATAGTATTGTACACGATGGATGCAACACGCCTATTCCTTGTTGTTACAATGACCTTACTTCCCTTCGCCCCATACGTGAAAAGAGTTCGTAGACGATCCCACTCATCATAGCTCTCATTCCAAAGGTCATCCAGGATAAGTAAAAATCTCTTTCCCATCAATTGTTCACTTAGTTGAACTTCAAGGGAATTCATACCCAAATTATCACAAGGTTTTTTAGTGATTTCCTCAATAAGGGTCTTAATCACCCTCAAAGCCTCATACTGTTCGGAAACACAAACCCAAGCATTCGTATCGAAATGCTCTTTAACTTGTCCATCATTGTAAAGAAGTTGAGCAAGAGTTGTCTTACCAACCCCGCCCATTCCGAAAATAGGGACAACAGAAAAATTACTGCTACTTTCATTGTCAGATAGCAGCAGTAGAGCTTTTAACTTTTCTTTATCTCCATCCCTTCCATAGGTACAAAATCCTTCCTCAACAACAGAAGTTGTGGGAGTTCTTTGTGAAACCTTGGACCCAACACCTCCTCTAAGACCGAGGACATCCTTTTGTTTTGCAAGGTGTTCCAACTTGTTGAACAAATCTTCTATTCTACCGTTCAAGCCCTTATAATTAAAAGGATTAAGAGAGGTAGAAAGGATGTTGCACACCTGGGTTGTCTTAGTCCGATCTTTTGGCTTACGACGCAAAGCTTCAGTATCAATCTCATCCACCAAGTCCTCGGCATCGAACACAGCATGTTTGAGCTCGTCAAGCCACATCCCGACGGCACGGTCGACAATCTGCTTCTCCTCTGCATCGTTGAGGACTGCGTGGAGGGTCATCAACGTCACCTTCAGTTTGTCCACGAGTGAAAGGTTGAGTCTTCTTGCCCGGAAGAAGTCCATGAACTCCCCGGAGACAATCTTGTCGCAGAGCACCTGGATGGAACCGGAGAGCAAAGCCTCTCCAACCAAAGCCATTTTCTCTTGTTGGCAAAAGGACTAATTTTGATCAGAACTGAAAATTCTTGTGAAATTCAAGGAACTAGCAAAAAGCTGTGAAGGATTATATTTCTGAATTTTACATGGTGACCAGTAGTGAGACGACTTGGTATTGTTTTGGTCAATAATGGACAACACGCAAACATATAGAGCGATAACTGGTGGCTGTGCCTTGGAGTTTCGGGGGACAGGCATCGTTGTGACTTGGTCAGTGAGTTGAAATTGTAGAAAAGTAGAGGGTGTGGAAAATGCGTCGGTGGGACACCTGGTGGGCGACTTGTATTTAGGGGTGTATTCAATTGAGAATGTAAGGGATTTTAATGGATTTATAAATCTATGGATTTTTATGTAGTTTTATTGATTTGAAGAGATTTCATATAAAATTTTGATTCAATTCCCTTGAAATCTCATGAGAAGATGTGAGATTTGTGGATGCTTAAAATACACTACGAAATCTCTCCAATTCCCTATAATTCCTCAACTTTCTCAAATTCTTTAAAATCAATTTCTAATTGAATACACCTTGAATGTTATAACTTCTTTAAAATCCTAATTGAATACACCTAGATTTCTAAGGATTTTAATAAACTATCTTAAAATTCTAATTGAATACACCTATAATTTCAGAGAATCACTTGAAATCTTGATTGAATACCCCTAATTCATTAAAGGAATTAAAATCCCTTAAAATCCCATTTGAATACATCTCCCTTAATTTACCTTCTGAATTTTACATGTAAACTGCATGACATATATATACTCACCTCTACACTTTTGTTTTAACTTTTGAAGAATTCTTAACTATATTTTCCTTTGTTCCTTTATTTTTTGGGGTGTGCTATCCACACACCCCAAATTACTTCTCACACACCCTGGTTAATTTCTATCCGTTGATCTTCTTCAATTCATCCGATCCGACGATCGAAAATTAGAAGGGTGTGTGAGAAGTAAAATGGGGTGTGTGGATATCACACACCCCAAATTACTTCTCACACACCCTTGTTATTTTTAAGATTCTACAATGTTATTGATGATCCGAACTGTGTATTTTTTAAACTATTATTTAAAAATCATCTGTACAAAATATTAGCTAAATTTGAATATATTTACTTATTTAAGAATTATTTAATAATGGACGAATCATGATTTTCTTAAACAATAAAATGATGACAACATCAATTCAACGATTAAACAATTTCCTGTACGTTTACTTTTTGCATTCATCTTAACTTTTTTTACTTTATTTTGCAATGTCTGCAATCGCTGCATGTTTAGAGAGTGTTAGCAATGAGATTAATTTCATATATCTGAATAGCATTATTGTACATATTCTGTGAAAAAACGTATATGCAATAAGTTTCATTTGATTTTATTTAACAAACAAATATAAAAACAAAGGGTGATGTGTCATAATTGTGTTAATTTTGCGGGTTCGATGAGAGAATAAGTTTGTAAAATATTTAACAAATAAATATAAAAATATTGTAGGCCTACTTTACTAAGAAAAAAGAAAGGGTGACTGGCGGCAGAGTTTGGAAATTCTGTACAAGAAGGAAGTATCTAAAAGATCTCATAGAATCCTGCACATATTTTACTAGAATTTACGCAACCACACTCTTAATGAAGTTAGGATCTCAACACTTCATTTTAGTATCTAAACACTTAAACAAAACAAATGTATAATCAATTGATTAAGTTGTCTCGTTTAGTAGGCACAAGTAGCAAACATGAGTCTCAAATAGAGATTACATCAAAAAACCTGGCTATGTAATACTCAAGATGGGGAAAAAAACCTAGTCTTTTGACAAAAGTGAGTTAATGCAACAATGCCGATAATTAGAGCGTTTTCAAGAAGCAAGTAATAGAAAATGCACACAAAGGTATAACCATCCAGACGTGGGTGCCTCGTCAAAACCTTGTCAAGTTAGCAATTTCTTTGGTGGTGTTAGATTTTGATATTTTTCGTCCATCTTGGTCATGTGGACAACACATGGCAATTGTACAAGAGCAAACATGTAGTTATAAAAGTTCAAAAAGGTGATCGGCACTCAAGTTCGAGGGAGGGGACGAATCGACAAAAACCTCAACTATTACTAAGATTAAAGTTTTTTAGTGTCCGAACCCGAAAATGAATTTTCTTTTTAACTAAAAATGTGCTAGTTGTTACTATCGAAAGAATAATGTACAAGACAATAGGGTGTTAAAGTGTGGCCTCATCAAAACTTTGTCGGGAATTTCAACCCAATTGAAGAAAAAAGAGTACCACGCACCAACAATTTACAAGATATGACAGTCTAGCTTCTATTAACTAAAACATCCAAAATAATGTCCAGGGGAGTCGTCAAACTATAGCAACTCTTGATATCGTGCAAGTCTATGTGCAACCTTTTAGGCCTCTCGTCTCACATAATATTGGGCGAGACGAGAATAATCCTCCTCCTTTTGCAACATCCCTGCCAAAGCTAGAGTGGAATGACTCTCCAATTCCACAGCAGCAGCCTCCAAATCAGCCAACATCGGCAGCCAACGTAGGGCTCTGGCCTCAACGTATGTGGTAGAGGAAAATGAACTCCACACGCACGCACTTGGCTGCACAGGCAGCAACAAAGTGTGCATTTGACTGCATACGAATCAGAAAAACAAATACTATATATTAAGAGAAACAATGAATGGACCCCTTAGCGATTGGGAAATTTTGCTGCTATGCACGATAATGTACATGAAGCATTACTAGGTTGAGTTGCTACTTACCAAGTAGCAGGCCCGGCCCAGTGCAACAAGGGCAATTGTCCAGGGCCCAAAGTTGAATGGGGCACCCAAAAAACAAAATCCAAATAATTAAGTATAAAAAAAAATTTGTCCAAAGCCCAAAATAAAGGCTGTAGGCGACAACTTGTCCAGGTTTTGGGGATTAAAAATCAATATAACATAAGGGGTATTTGAAGGGGACAAGTCGTCCAGGTTTTGGGCATGGAGGAGAGGCATAAGATTCAAGTTTTTCAAAGGGAGCTCCCTCTCTGCTTGGAGCTTGTCACTCAACTGCCCAAGCCCAAGGTACTACGGAGAACACAAACCCTTCTCAAATTTCAGCTTAATTTTTGTGTTCTAAGTCGGAAGCTTCGTTTCTTTTGCTTGAATTGTTCTGGTTTCTGTTTTCAAAATTGGGGTTTTTTTTGTAGCTATTGAGAGGTGCAAGCAGCAGATTTCAGATGCAACCGCAAATTACCTGCATGGACAATCTAAGTGTTCTGAGCAGACTTCAAGTGAGGGGCATGTTTTTTGAGGAATTCATTCCATTAACACGGATTTCATAACAACTCCAGATGCACCACTCGAAGAGGTATAAAAAAAGACTCCACCTTCATCAATTTTAGTAAATTTTGTGACTGCCCTTTTGTTTGGTTGCTTATAAAATTTGAGGTGAAGAAGTGGAAAGTATTGATTTTTAGGTGCAGGGTAATGGCAGGAGGAGCAAGTTAAAGGCTATAGTGATGGAGATGAAGAGAAATGGGGTGCTTTTCAGCCTTTCCAAAGGAAAAAAAAAAAAAGCATTGGAAAGACAAATGGACCGGTGACTAAAGAACCTTCTTCGGCTCCGGCTACTAGTTCCACCACGGACACCGTGAGTGGAGACAGTGGTGGGAACAACAAGAACAAAGAGAAAGATGGACAGGGAAACGAAGGCGAAACTGGTC